AAACACCAATGGTATTTTTTTAAATCACTTCTTGGACAGAAGTATTTAAAAAAATTAATTATGCTTATTCCCCTTCTTAGTATGTAAAATATCAGCAGCATCAAGTTCTGTAAATATCTATTCAAATGTCAGCATATGTATATCTGATTAGTTGAGTGTGGGATGGTTAGCTCTGGGATAAGCAGTCCAAAACTTAAAAATCAACGACCACTTAAAATTGCTTTTTTTGAGAAGCAAAGAACTTAGTAGGTGCTTTTTGCACCACCTTATGGTATTGTAATGGTAAAAATAGAATTTCTGCTATCTTTATATTTGTAATTTTTGCCATCTTCTCTGTTACTGTAATAGTCTTTGCAACAGACAACGATAAAATATTTGTCTTAGTGATGGGTAGATACCTCATGGCATCATGAAACAGTGGTTAGATCACAATGCAGTGTGAACTCCCTAACTTTGTGCTAGTTGGCTATCACAGTTCTGTGGCAGAACATCTATTATGTACACACACGGCTTATCTTCCAGAGCTCTAAAAAGAGGTGTTAAAGAAGGAACAGATGTGCTCCTGTTCCAGTGTCATTGAGGTTCAATACACTGTAAAATGTTTGAATCTAACTGCTTGAATAATCAATGTTCATAAGCATCAGATTATTCAGAAAGGTTCACACAGATACACTGTGCAAATTTGTTGTGTGCTACTTTATGAGGGGGAAAAATTAGCCTCTGTTGTGAACAGCTTAAAAAATTTGAAATCTGAGGCCACATGACAAATTAGTATTTCAGTTGATGGATTTGAAGACCTCTAAACTTGGCATCATGACTGAGTGCCTGCTAGTCATGCGAATGGTAAAGCAAAAATGCTACGCAAGTCTGATGTAGTTACATTTTCCTTTTAAATTGCTTTGCTTTTTTATCACTGAAATGTTCTGCTATTGCCATTCAAACTGCTGTGTTCTCCTCATGTTAAAGGCCCATCTGCTTTCAGAACACTTCACATGGAGTTGTCAGGTCGTGACAAAGGTGACACACACACACAAGCAATCTTTACATTTCTTTTGAAAATTCCAAATAGTCTTCAGAAACTCTTGAGACTTCCCAGTTTAAGAACTTTTCAAATTAGAAAAACTTAAGAAAAATGTTCTCATAATTCATGACACAATTGGTTCAATTAAGCAGTGGCTGCATATTATATGGATTGAGTTTTAAAATGCATATTATTGTAGCAGCATTGTATGGGATGGCTTTAGTCCTATTTTTCTCTGTCTAAATGTTAATGTAAGGTCCAAGTACTGACTGAAAAGCTTCCTGGCTCATGTTGATGTGATGTGCTTTGTTTAAGAGAAAAAAGACAAACATTGTGGTTTTGGGGTGCTTTAGTGCTCCCTGTTTTGGGGTGTTGCTCACAAAGGCTTATTTTTTTATAAAGTAGAATTCCACTTGTTACAAACCAATATGCAAAACTGCTGGCCTTGTAAAGAGTGCAATATTATATATTTTTATGTAAAAGTAAAAATGATTTTTGAAGCAAGGAATATTTATTCAGCTTAATATTCTGGAACTATTAAAATAACATTGCAATAGTGTCTGTGCATGATGTACTTAAATTTCCTGTAAATGTCACATTCCACACTGTATTTGTATATACACTGTCACATTGTTGGGTAATAAACAGATCTTTGTATCAAACCATTTTGAGATAATTAGAAACATGTTTTTGGCTTAGTTGCAACTTTCTTCTTTTAGGGAATCTTTCATGCCTGGCTCCAGATCAGTTTCTGCTTTCCCTTGTCTTTCATATTTTAAAAATCATCAAGTGGGAAAGTTCCATTTGTGGACTACATCCTGTGTCTGTCAAACTGAAGGTGGTGAGTGTAAGATGGGAAGTGGGAAACTCTATCTATACCACTTTGCACATGTGTGCATGTGTCCTTCCTTCCCATAGGATGCATGACTAGAATTTGGATGAAATGATGGCTCTCAAAGCAGAGATATTCCCCTTCCTTCCATCTGCCTTCTCACTGAAAACCTGTCTGAGCAGCAAAGGCAGAAAAGCAAATTCTCTCTGGATTCTCAGGAAGATGGGTGGAAATTGGAAGACTGGGATCTTGGGGAGGCATCTGAAAGGATGTGAGGCTCTTTCTGCTGCCAGCCAGAGTTTGCAAGATGTTCATGGGGCAAGGCCTGTCTACCTGATTGTGGGATCCTGTGGTAAATCCCAACCTTTCTGCTCTGGTAGTGGAGAGACGTGGTGAGAAAGGGAAGGGGAGACAATAGCTGGATGTTCACTTGTGGTGGGAGAGGGAATCTCCAACCCATTACTGAAAGGGAATCCTGATCTTGCATTTAGAGATCCACTGCTTAGACAAACCCATAGCAATATACAGAAGGAAAAAAATAGCCTGAACTGAATTAAGCAAAAATATAATAGTAAAAAATAACAATGGAGTGGGGGGAAAATATCACCTGGCTTGCTACTAATAAAATTTTAGTTTACCTTTTAATTTCTTCATGCCTCCTTTTGCTTAAAGTTGTATTGGGTTTTTTCCTTGCATATGAAAATGGAAGTCATACTTCTGTATGCTGCTACTCTATCAAAAAACAATCAAACAATTACTATTTAAAAGCTCTGCTTGGCTTGAAAAATATCCACTGGAATATTTAAGCCTCTGTACATCAAGACACCTTTTTTTATTTTGCTGCTGTATTAAGTTACAAACTACTGACTGCTGTTTGCAGATTTATTTGCCATTACTGCTCTGGAGTGGGGTCAGAAAGGCACTGATTTTCCATTGGAGTTTCTGTAATAGGCTCTGTTGTGTGTTTCATAATTTTGAAAAAAGATTAAAAATGAAAGGTGGCTGCTCTGATTAGGCCCCTAAGCTCTTCTGGACTACACAATAGAATGTAATTGAGTAAAACAGGAGCTTGCTTATTGTTTCCAGCTTTAAGCTAGCATTGCCAGGGGAAAAAAATATTAAAATCCTTATTCTCTAATGGAATTGACTGAAGCCCATGTAAGACTCATTAGGGCCAAGTTCATGTAAATCTAAGGAATAGAAATTTGTGTTGGCTGTATGGGTATTGTTTTCAGAACCTGTAGGGGAGATTCCTGATTGTGGTGGAAGGTTAAGAGTTTGCAGATTTAAAAGAAGGCAATTTAAAATAAATATCTGTGTAATATATTATGAAAATATGTTTTTAAAACAGCCATTTCCCACCTTTATATTTTAGCTTAAGTCATAAAATTGTTAGAATCCAGTGGTAAAAATATTCTGATGACAATGGCCTCATGATTAGAGCTATCTAATGTGCTCTTTTTCTAACAGCATGAGCATGTAAATCCTTTGTGTGTGGAATGGGGCCTTTTGTAGATTGATGATGTGGTTGAAAGTGAATGAAAGAGCAGCAGCACAGGCCAATGAAGTCTCCATCAGTTTCTGGAACTCTACTTATGGGAAGCCTGTGAACTTACCTAATTATATTTAGTGATGTTTACCTTCTTCCTGTTGCATCTCCTCCTGCTAAGCACCATTATTGACTTCATCTCAGAGGAGGCTGCCCTTGCTCCAAAGCACATTTAGAAAACAAATGTTACTTGGGAGTTCTGCTCCATTATGATGGAATGAGAAAATGTACTGAGGACATACACCCCTCAAGAGGGAACGGCCGTCTTACTGGGGAAAAAATTAATGAGACTGGTGATCCTACCAACGGGTTATCACAGCTGACAAAATTTTCAGTTAAAGATGTTAACTGGCACTTTTAAATGCTGCTGAACCATACAGCTTTTATAGGGAGAAGCATATAAAAATTGATCTATGAAGCTGAATTGTGTTGTTCTGACGTACTAGCCCTAACAAGGTGAGTCTAAGCAGCCCCTTTCCCACAGCAGTTCCATTCCTCATGGCTGGCTGTCACATCATCCTTCTGGTTTTTGGTGTGGGGGCAGGACAGGCACTGTGGGCTCTCACCCCAAACCCCAGTGCTGTTTGGGCTTTGCTGTTTGAGGTACAGTGCTACAGGCTGGGGACAGAGTGGCTGGGAAGTGGCCCACTGGAACATGATGTGGAGGTGCTGGTCAGCACCCAGCTGAACATGAGCCAGCTGTGCCCAGGTGGCTGAGAAGGGCCATGGCATCCTGGCCTGGATCAGCAACAGTGGGGCCAGCAAGGCCAGGGCAGTGACTGTGCTGTGCACAGCACTGGTGAGGCTGCACCCTGATATTCTGTGCTCAGTTTTGGGCCCCTCCGTTCAGGAAGGATGCTGAGGCGCTGGAGCATGTCCAGAGAAGGGAAATTAACTTGGTCAAAGGAACTCAGGTCATGTGAAGAGCGGCTGCAGGGGCTGGGGATGTTTAGCCTGGAGAAAAGGAAACTCGGGAGACCTTAGCGTTCTGTACATCGGGAAGGAGGCGGTAGCCAGCCGGGAGCTGGTCTCTTCTTCCCGGTCACAAGTGACAGGAGGAGAGGGAATGGCCTCAAGCTGTACCAGGGGAGGTTCAGTGTCGACAGTAGGAGAAATTTCTTCACATAAATGGTGATTAAACTTTGGAATGGATTGCTCAGGGACGTGCTGGAGTCACTGTTCCTGGATGTGTTTAAGGGAAGACTGGATATAGCACTGCGAGTGGTGTTCGATCAAATGTTGGACTCTATGATCTCAGAGGTCTTTTCCCGCCTAACTGATTTTGTTTCTGTGGTCCGTGATTCTGTTTGAGAATACCTGGATGACCGCCCGATCCCTAGCGCCAGCTGGAGCCGGGCCCGGAGGCGGCTGCAGCGGGAACCGGGAGGGGCCGAGGCAGGCGGAGCGTGAGGGCGGCGGAACCGGGGCCGCGGCCGCCCCGCCCCGCTCCGCCATGTGCCCCGGCCGGGCTGCCCGCGGCCTCCGCGCCCGCACGGCGAGGGAGGGACGGCGGAAGGGAAGGAAGGAGGGAGGGAGGGAAGGAGGGAGTGCCCGGGGGCCCGGGCGGGAGAAGGTGCCGGGAGGGGCGCAGGGCGGGCCGGGCTTTCCGCGCGGGGCTTCCTTGTCGGCGCTGGTGGCCTGGGAATCCCTCGGCCGCTCCGCCCGGCATCCCGGTGCTCCCGTGGGCTGCTGCGGGTAGGCAAGGACCGGCGGCGAGCCGGAGTTTCCCGGTTATCCGCAGGAGTCGGCGCCGGGCTTTGGGCTCCGTTGTCGGCGGCACCGGCGGGAGCATCCTCGGGAGAGCCCGCCCCGAGCCAGGTATCCCGCGGGCGGGGAGGGGGTCCCTGCCGGCTGCTCCTTCCTCCTCCTCTCTGCCTGGGCGAAGGCTGAAGGAAGCGGCCGCTTTCCCTGCTGGCTGGTGCCCTGCCGAGGAGCAGCTCCCGCTGCCCGGCTGCTGCTGGCGGTAAGCACTGATGTGCGCTGCTGTGGCTGCTGCACAGCAGAGCCATTAGGGCAGTGCAGCCAGACAGAAAACTCGGAATAACAACTTAAAAACGCTGCTGCCCTGCAGGTAATGCAGTGCCGAGCTTCCCGGAGAAGCTCTCCCTGCATTGTAGGATATAATTCTTATCAAATGCCTTTTAAGCGGGGTTTAAAAGGAATAATCGAAATTTCCTGTGTATTTCTTTGAAAGCTCACAGCTGTCTTTCAAAATTAGCTAAAGAGGTAAAACAGTAGCCAGGAAAAATCTTTCTGCCTCAGACTTACGAAATCTCTGATGGTTTGCTGGGCTATATGTTCACATAACCCGTATGCTGATGATAATAATGTTGCACAAAAAGATTGTCCTTTGGAAATATCACATTAGTTCAGCCATTGTTTCCTTTGATTTTTTTTTTAATGTTGAGAAGCAACATTATAATTTTGAGTAAAAATTTGGGTATGATGGCAAGAATTTTTGGAACTTGACAACTGGACTGGATATAGCACTGGATATGTTAGACATGAACTAAGCTGCTGGAGTTTCGCTGATTTGCAGTTACAGGAGGAGAAGTTATTTTCAAAGTCAGCACGTTTATGGTATGAAAATTGCATTCTTTCCTTATTGTGAACAATAGTTCTTGCTTTTAATCTGATAATTTCTGCTTGTACTACTAAGCTTCTCCTTAGGAGATGGAGTGAAAAGCTGCAGTAATTTTCTTGTATTTCTTTGTGCAGCCATGAGATAGAAAAGGAAAAGGATTCCTTACCCTGCCTCTCTTTACAGAGCTACATCAGTTGCTGTAAATCTTAAAGTAAGAACAGAGGTAGCAGGAGAAGTTGTTTCCATTTCTTTTTCTTTGTTGATTTTTTTCTTCTTTTAATTTCTTTAGTGTAGCAGTTTGGCATCGAACAGCTGTGAGGCTGTAAATTTTGCTGTGTATGTTCCTGCAAATGGATAATTAAATGTGGCCATCTTTCCTCCATTTAGGATGTGATTTGCAGGTCATTATCCAGGGATGATTCGCGCTAATGTCACTGGGACTTAGTTGAATGATTGATTGGGTTAACTTTCCTATTGGGCTGTGTGGTCCACAAAGCGCAGAGCTTGTGTGGAAGGTGCTCTTTGGAGTTGTCAACCCCAGGTTTTCTAATCTAGTAATTTCAGGTCTATCACTTTAGGTTAAGGCAGCAATTTGGTTTAGGACTTTTCAGATTGAGTTCCAGAGGTCACTTTTATTGTATGGCATTGTAAGATTGTACTTGGAGCTAGAGGAGGGGGAAATGCAGCTTTTCATCTCTGTTTCTTGTAGAAATCCATCCTTGAGCTTGAAAAGTCAATTTTGCTTCTATGTTACTCAAGTTTTTAGACTTTTTCTGCATTTTGCTAACAAGTATTTGTAATGTTTAGTAAGCAAAGCTTGCACTCCTTACCCCAATGCAGCATCAAGCTATACCTGCAAATCTTTATGCAGCTTTGTGCATTATAATAAGATAAATTTGCCTTTGAAGTGCTGTTAGGTACAACCATTCATTGTAAAACAAAAAAAGGAAAAGCTGCTCTTCACAAGCATTTTTAGGAGCCTGGGAAATGAAGAACTTGGGCACACATGAGTTACGTGCACCCAGAAAAGGATGAGGTAAGGTAAACAAAATGAAACAAAATACCAGAAAATGCAGCTGGCTGGGAGGCTGTCGCTGTGCAGCTCTCAGGAGTGATGCTTTAGGAAGGGGCTGTCTGCTGTGGGGTGCAGTCAGCAGAAACTGTTTGGCTAAAAAGGCCGTGTAGCTGCTGTCACTGCTCTCTGTTAGCCCCGCCAGTGTTCCCCTTAAAGAAAGGAATCAGTAGAGACCAGGTCAATGAACTCGTGTGCTGCACAAAAACACTCTGGCTAAATGAGCTCCTGTACAATCCAGGCATGCTGGCTGCAGCAGTGACATGCAGGCTGCATGGAGGCTGCTGCTCAGCACAGGTACTGTAACTACAGTGATTATCGGGGCCTGTGTGTGCCTGCATTGATCCAACCTAAAAACAGCCAGGAATGAGCAGCAGCAAACCCAGCGCAGAATTTCTGGTTCCAGGGGTTTTAGGTGATGCAAATGATGGGGAGAAGCTGCTCCTTTTAAACATCAAAAGCAGTGTGGTCAGCAGGGGAAGGGAGGTGATTCTGCCTCTCTGCTCACACTGCACCCAGCTCTGGGCTCCCCAGCACGGCAGGGACATTGACCTGCTGGAGCCAGTCCAGGAGAGGGACACCAGGATATCTGGGGCTGGAGCACCTCTCGTGTGAGGAGTATCTGAAAGAGTTGGAATTGTTCATCCTAGGGAAGCAAAGGCTCTGGGGAAACCTTACTGCAGCCTTTCAGTAATAAAAAGAGGCTTAAAAGAAAAACTGGGACAGAATTTTTAGCAGGGCCAGTTGTGAAAGGACGAAGGGTAATGGTTTTAAGCTAAAGAGGGCTGATTAAGAGCAGATGTAGGGAAAAAAACTTTACTGTGGGTGGTGAAATGCTGTGACAGGTTACCCAGAGAAGGAAGTGGTGGATGGCCCATCCCTGGAAACATTCCAGGTCAGCTTGGATAGGGCACTGAGCAACTTGTTACAGTAGAAGATGCTCCTGCTCATTGCAGGGGCCTTGAATCAGGTGATGTTTAAAGGTGCCTTCCAACATAAGCCATTCCCTGATCCTGTAGACTGCTCACCCAGGTACAGTATAAAGATAAATGTGCCCTCCTGTGGGACTGAAGGCCTAGAGAATGCTTGGACAGTTTAGGAGGAGTCATCTTAAGAGAGAGGATCAGATCCATTTGTGAGGCAGCAGCCTCAGATGAAACACATCCTGCGAGAGGGTGTTTGAAGAGGAGGCTTCCTCATTCCAGGGCATGGGTGTGAAGAGATTCTCTTGTAATTAAAATTTCTGTTCTCTCCAGAGCTGTATTTCTAAGTAACAATTTTATTTCATTGAAGTCTATTAAGCTTAAGGTTATTATCATAGGTCCTAAGGAGAACAGAATCAAGTGTCATACAAAGTTTTGTCTGCAACAAGGATCATTATCACAGCCTGGTTTGAAAGTGGGCACAATTCTCATTGCATCACACCATATGAAATAGGGCCTTAAATGATGCACAGATATGTACAGTGTTTGCAGAGAGTAAGAGAAATTAGAGGTATATGTAGCTTGGTATGTAAGAAGAAGTCAGTCTCACAACGTTATGGAACCATATCTGTCTGTAGAAAATTAAATACTTAAATGGATGCTAAACACTTCCAGAAATATAGTAGTTAAATATTTAAATGCATGTAAAGGCCAAAGTTGGAACAGGTTTTGGAACAGAACAAATGTTTGTGCTTCAGAGTATAAACAAACCTCTTGCTGGGGATAAGTGGAAATTTTCTCCCGTGTCTGAAATGCCTAGTGCCAGACTTTTCTCTTTTGTTCTAAAGTTCTTTTTTTTTTTTATGAAGTCTCATATTCTGGTTGTTTTTTGATAATGTAAAATGCTTTACTAGTCAAGATATATATTTTCTTTTTTTAAATTTTCCTATTTGATGTTTCAGAATATAGGTAAGGATATATTATCTTTGTGGTTGCTTTAGAAACATGGTTTGAATTTTTAGAAGCATTTTTATGCCTAATAGCCTTTTCAAAATTCTACTATGGACTTAACTCAATCCTTATTCTGTAAATGCTTAAACACTAGCTGGAAGTACTATGAACACTGTTCTTGCCAGCATTGTTGTAGCTAGTGACAGTTCAAATTGTCTTACTCTAATGTTTATAACTTTTACAGTATGAGTGAGTGAATTGCCAGAAAAGTGTGGGAGATCTGGAATTCTCTGGACTGTTCAGGGAGTTGCAGTGACTCAATTCAGTTTAATTTAAATTTTTGTGGCAAATGTAGAAAGGCCTCTGACTTGATTTAGCTTTGACATTTTTGACTTTGTGGTCACTAGTAAGGTAGATGTGGAGATGATAGAATTTAAATTATTCACTCTTGTGGGGGTATAATTTTGTAAACAAAGCTAAATGTATTTATTCTAATTTTTATGGAGAGCTTGATACTTAAAAGTGAGGGGCTTGAGTCAAACAAAAAGTCCAGAGATGCACTGTAATTCAGAGCCTTCTCCTTTTGTGAATGTCTTGTACCCTTTCTGCTGTTTGACTTTCCACTGCAAGTCAAAACACATCTCAGAATGGATTGGAGGCTGTGGCTTGGTTGTGGATTTTCATACAGTACATGGCATTTTATGCAAAGCCAGTTCCTCCACATGTGTTCAGTCCTGTGCCTTGTAAGGAGTAAGAGTTTAAAACTTGTAAACAAAGATGAAGACAAAGAACCTGCTGTGTTCTGACATGATTTTATTTCATCAGAGCACACAAGGGGGAAACTTGTTCCATTGAAATGACACATGCATATGCAGAAAACCTGTTCTTTGCCTTGGCATATGCTAAAGCTCTTGTTTATTTTGTTTTGTTTTGATATATTTTAAAGTAGCATTTCCCTGCCTTGACTTATACTAGACCTGAAAGAAAAAGATTCTATTGTTTCTTCAAATTAGTGTTGAGCATGGCTCACCATGGCATTTGTATTACACCATCTATTTTACAGCACGGGTTACTGATTTTTAGAAAGAATTTGTTTCATACCAGGCTGTGAGAAGAAACAGCTGTCTTTGCCTTGTCTCTGAGCATTTGTGTTGTGCAAAATCAAAGCAGTTTAAAAATTATTCCTCCATTCTTTCTGTACTATGGGTTGTGTACTTCCCTTGAGTCTAACAGGGGCATTCACTGTACGTACAGATTTTTTTGTAAGAGCATTTCCAGTGCCCTACTTTATTTCCTGTTTGTATCTCACACCCCAGTGGCTGGATCAGGTAAGCTATCAGGTTCAGGAAGGGACGTTTGTATGGTTCTAGGTATCCAGAAATAGGCTGGAAGTATTCATTTTGGAGGGCCTGAGCCTAAAAGTGCTTTGGCAGCATTGCAAAATGCCTCCTTGTGTGTGTGTTTTTCTCCTGTGTCCCATCTGCCTCTCACACTCTGTGTCCTTTGCATTTTGCTGAACTTGGTGTTGGCTGCTGAGGCTTGGTGCCAGACTAATGTGGCTGCAGGTAGCCCTTGTGCTAAGGACCACAGGGGAGTGTTGCCTGGTGGAAACCTCAGCATCCATCTTACTAGCTAGTACAGCTAGTCTGGGACCTGTCTAGGTCACCTGTATCCCAGCATCTTTCCATGTGCCTTAGTCCAACCTCCGGTGACTTCAAACAGTGACTGTTCCGTGTGCTGGGCCAGCGCTGCATAGAGCTGTCAGCACAAGGGGGTCTGACCTGCAGACACCTCTGGCACAGACATTGTAAGTCAGGGTCTGAATGTGGATGTCTTGACTCATTTGGTAACAGTGCTGAGGACTGCTGGATACTGAGCTGATTTAATCCCTCAGGGAGGAGCAATGCCACAGAACCAAAGGCTGCCCTACCTTACCTGGATGTCCCCTCCCAAGAGCTGCAGATCTCTTAAAAAGTAAAGCATCCTGTACTGTACAGCATACTGTACTGGGTGTAGTCATCTCTAGACTTTGCTGGGCTGTCTAAGCAAAAGATAATGCAGATACCTCTGCATTATTTCTTCTTAATCTGTTCCTTCGTTTCTAAACTTCTTTTATCGATAGTCAGAATTCTGACTCATTCTCTATCTTAGAATTTCTCTCTGATGCTTGATGAGAGTGGTATGGCATTAATTTCCACTGCACACATTTCTGAGCTTGTTTTGATGTTTCTAGGTGTAACTGGGGCGTGGAGCCAAACTGTGCAATGCCTGCAAAGTCTGTTTGTGAACAGCTGTTCTGCGTTGGCAACGTGAACCAGGGCAACCATTTTCACGCTGAAGTCATGGTCGTGTGCTCTGCATTTGTGTGTCATTTGCAGGATTCAGGCAGAATGCTGATGATCAAGGATGCAAATATGCAATGCAATAAAGTGCCATGGAGCAAGAGAAGAAAAATAAATGGTGTCTGCTTTGTATTCGTGACCAGCAGCCTGGCAGTGTTGGTGTGGTGGGCAAGGGCTGCTTAGAGTTCAGACAACTGCCCTCTCAGTGATTGCTGCATTTGCTACCTGTTCTTTAAATGGTCTCAACTTCATCTCTTCCAGGAAAAACAAAATGAAGGAACTAGTGTCAAACAGTACAACCAGTATTTCTCAAGCCAGGAAAGCTGTGGAGCAATTAAAAATGGAAGCATACATGGATAGAATAAAGGTAAACTTAGACTTATTGTTGATATTTTGAATTCACTGACTAGTCTGTGCTACAGCATGCCCTTAATAATGCAGAAATCAAGAATCTGTGTTGAGCAATAAAACAATATTCAGTACTGTGAGTTACATACCGACTAGTGGGTTCTAGTGTAGAGATTTCCAAAGCCTGGCTTCATGTCTGCTTCTGTGTGTCTGTCATGTTTGTCAAAAGTGGTATTTTGTGAAATAATTAAAGTAGCTGGTGGGTGCACAGGTGCTCTTCTTTGTCACCTGTAGTTGAATTTAAGTGCAGCTCTGGTTTCTTGGTTTTTCTCCTTTAAGATTTGGAATAAGTCTTTAAGATACTGCAAAATTTTTGGATAATGATGAGACAAGCTGAATTGCTTTGCTTTGTTTTGTTTTAGTGCAGACGCCATTGCACAAAAAAGTGTACGATTGCAGCGTGCAGTTATGATTCTTCACACTTGATAACATGTTGTATGTGAAGATTTGGTTCCATCATGCCTCTTGTGGATTGAATATTATCATTAAAGGTGCTATTAAATAGAGCATTTCAGGTTTTTTAACCAAAAAACTCCTGTGGATTATTCTTGCGTGTCATTCTGCTTTCCACTAGGCTAAAACTTTGTGAAATATCAAGGACCTGAAGCTAAAAATGCCATAGAACTTTTTAAGAAAGCAGTGCTCATTTATTTTGTTCTCTTCCTCTGAAAATAGGGAATAAGTAATTTGATAAAAAATCCAGTCTCTACAAGGAAGAAGTTTTTAGTCTTTCCATCTTTAAAAAGTAATGCATTGAAATTACCCAGTTCTCTACAAACAACTGTAACTGAGTTGTTACAAACTGGATCTGACATTATTAAGACAGCAGGACAATTTTAAAATGTTGTACATTGAAATCTTCATGTAGTCTTGACTCAGTCTGTCTGTCCATCCATCCTGTGTGCTGAAAGTCTGCATGTAGTCAGTGTGGGGACAGTAGTATATAGTTATGATTTTTAAAATACTCTCAGATCACAGACTCCCCAGTTGGAGAAGTAATATTTTTAATTCAGAAATGTTAGTGCAATTCACATGAGTGGTCAGTCTTGCTCATATGAAAAAAGACATTTCAGTCACTGTGTTTTGTGGCAGTTTTTAATGATGTCTTGTAAGACCACTGAATTTGCAAAAGTGCTTTCTCTATTTTGTAGTGTGTCACAAATTCATCGCATAACCTGTGATAACAGGGACAGGTGTTTGCTTCCTGCAGTAGAAAAAGGTCTTCCTCGGTTAGTCCCAGCTCAGGTCATGTTGCAGCTGCATGAACAGAACTGACAAGGGTGGGTGTGGGTGGCAGAGGAAAGGGTTGGAAAGATCAAAATCAAAGTTGTTTGGCATTTGAAACTGTCCCAGTTTACTGGCATTTGAAATTGTTGATTCTTAGTAGATTGCCTAAATTTGCTTCTATATATGCAGTGGTAACTGTCACGTCCCACATCATCAGGTCAGTTTTGCAAATAGCTCCATTACTTGGGTGTATAACATTCTTAATTACATGTGCAAGAAAGACATAGCTGCAAGAAAGACACAGGTTATTTTTACAGTCAGTTTAATTAAAATGAACACAGTTATTACAAATGTGGCAGACCTAAAAAACGGGTAGCTTGAAAGTGCAATTATTTCACTTTTTGAAATAGCCTGGGACCAAAAACACACCAAAGAAAATTTGGCATGTTTCAGAATTATGAGGGCTCCTACACTAACATAAAACAAATATAACTTTTCAAATTGCCCTAATTTCTAGAATTTCTCTGAACAAGCATATGAGGGATTTTGAGAAGCTGTTGATGGGCTTTTTATTCCTTCAAAATCTGCTTGGCTTTTTAATCTTCAATCAGTTAAGTGTGTGTTTCAGCACAGTCAAATTTTATCAAGGGACTTTCCAGTGGTTTCAACAGGACATTTTAAGTTCTCAGATCATTACTGTAAAGGTAGATAAATGAACTTACTTCCTTTTTTCTTAGTGTTTTGCATCTGATTAAACTGGTTAGACATTTAACAAAATACCAGGGCTTTCCAAATAATTTATTAAACCCTCTTTTGCAAACAGCTCTAGCCAAGTTGTTATTGCCACAATAGGCAAGACCACATTGCTAACATGGAAGAGGTGTCTGTGTTGCTGACTGGGAAAATTAGAAGCTCCAGTTTATTTTTCTACTACAGAGGCACTTTGTTTCCAATGCACAGTAGCTGCTGTAACCAGCAAGAGTTGGGTCTACACAATTAAAATGCTGTAGTTAAAAGTATATTGCTAGATGCTGACTCCCCACTGTGTTCTGGATTTTTCAACTAAGTTAAGAAGTCCTATTAAGTCCTCTAGCCAGTCAGAGCAGCAAAGAAGGGCTGTGTTCTGAGGTTCCACAAAGACAACTCGCTGCTGAGGTGTGAAAGCAGCAGGACACTCGAAAGAGGAGGATGGAGTTAATGGTGTACTGATCAGTAGCTGGAAGGAGGATTACTGTGGGTTTTTGTAAACCATAGAAATGCCAGAAGGATCATAATTGAACCTGTCTTACCTGGCAAAGGAACAGCTAGAGTTATAAAGGAGAAGTAAGTAGGAAGCTGGAAACACAGATTCCAAGCTAGGAAACACCAAAGTAAATCAGGTGAACAGTGGCCTCGTGTCTAATAGAATAATGTGTCTCCTAAAGATGCTAGCAGTAAAATTGAGAAAACAAAGTTACTATTGGTGCTTATCAGAGTTGTCCTCAGAATAAAGCACTACTTAATCTTTTCTTTGCAAGCAGTGCTTTGATATTTAAGACCCTTGGCATATCAGTTATCATTCCATTTTCTTTTTCCTAAGGAAGATAGGAAGTATTCCTAACTGGTCCTGAATAGTGTTGGGAGATGAACAGTGAGAATGCCAATAAATGTGTGTGAGTGTCTTTGTTTTAGATGTAAAGGATAAGCAAAGTGGGTGTTGTAGCAAGGATGGTAATTAGTCACAATCCCTGACAAGGCAGAAGACATTGTAATTGCAGCATTTTGCCCTGTCACTGAAGCTTATAATTATTAGTGCAGCCAACAGGATGTACTAACTCTGGCAGTTTTTATCACCTCTGCTATTTTGAAATATAATGTAAAATTTCACAGTCCTCCTGAGACTAATTCTTTAAAGCATCAGGGTTGCGTGATTTGTTGGATTTTTTCCCTATTGCCAATTTGATAACCAGATGTGGGTTTTGTGAGAGTGAAAGTAATTCTACAAAATGTGAGATCAGTGTGATACATATATATTCAATCTTTTAATCCATACACCTTAAAAGATTTTTTAAAAATGAGATGTTAACTTTCTGATAGAATTCATCAATCAAACTGGAGTCTGATTTTTTCTCTTTAGCCACTTCTGCAATATGTATAAATTACTGTGAATTTGCAGACCAAGCCGTATTGCGTAGGAAAGCTGACATGATAAATGTGTTCGCTTCATTTGAATATTCAAATCCCATGCATTTATTTTAATTCTTAGGAAAAGCTATTTTGAAGCTGTCCAGCAACACTGAGCTACAAATTACCCCGAAGGCGAGTAACAGCTAGGATGGATTGGGCTGCATTTCCATCCTTCCATGGCACAGTGGGACGATCACACATCGGTGTGCGCAGCACAGCCCCGGCCGTGGGGCACCTCTGTGCCAAAGCACCATCCCTGCTGGAGCCTTGTGCCATGCTCAGGGCATAGGCCTTCCTGCTCTTCCCAACAATGACTCTGAGAAGGAAACTTGCTGGAGGCAATATTGTATTTTGCTCTTTTTTGGGCCACAGGTCTGGCTCTGCCAACGCCGCTCACAGCCGCAGGAACTCGTGTTTTCATTGCTCCTGGACTGTGATCAGCTCATTTAACTCCCTGTTGTGAATGGTCATTATTCCACTGTGCAGGCCTAAGTTACTCTGCTTTTAGTGAAGAAATGGTTATAATTCACTTTTTTTTATGACTACTGTAATCCCAGTGGGAGGATTTTTCCTCTCAAAACCTTTTATTTGTTTAAACGATGAAAATATATGGTCTAGTGCAGGTTTGGTTTGTGGCAAAGATCATGTTCCTCAGTTTCAGGTTAGTTTTTAAATAAAATTGACTATGGTTTGCTTAAAAGCAAACTACAATGTGACTTAAACAGTATGACATGGAAGGAAGGGTTTCTCTTCACAGAAAGGGGTGATGGGGCATTGGAGTGGGGTGCCCAGGGAGCTGGTGGAGTTGCTGTCCCTGGAGTTAAAAAGAGACTGGATATGGCACCAAGTGCCATGGTCTAGTTGACAAGGTGGCCTTAGGTCAAAGGCTGGACTTGGTCATTTCAAAGGTCTTTTCCAACCCAGATGATTCTGTGAATGTGTTACTTTGCTTCACAACATTCTTACCAGCATTACAGGACAAGTTAGATATAAAAATGTATGCTGAGCTTTGACTAGTGAAACATCCTTTTTTTTGGTTATATCATATCAAGGCACAGTAATATGCAGAGAAACAGGAAATTATATTATTGGGTTTCTACCTCCTAAGAATGTGGTCTGAAATTGTACTTCTCTTCCTTTGAATGAAAAGCAATATACTTGGGCTGATGTTGCTTATCCATGCATGAAACTAACAAGATCATTACAGGAAAATCATTATAATCCTTTGTACTTTGAGGTCTGTAACTTTCAACATATTGAAACATTTTTGTTTTACCTGCTTCTTTCTTGAGAAGCAGTGGTCCTTGTGAGTCTCTCTCTGATTTTTTCATTTTTCTGTTTCACCTGTGCCCAGCAGCCTTTGTTCATATGTATTGTCTCTGCCACCTTTTTGTCTTACAGGCCAATTCAAAGACAAACTAATTTTAAATAACCGTAACACTCTTATTTCCTCCATCAGGGGAATAGTCTATACTGGGGTGCCAACCACAGGTTCTCCATAGGTTTAAGCATCCTACAAAGACATACAGAAATTAAAAATAAAGAAATAAAGTCTGTAACCGTCTTCAGAAGTTCATTTAAATTTCATGCAAATTCTGATTCATTACCCATTGACTTCATAGATCTAATCTGAAGCCTACAATAGCTGGGTTCATGTCAAAGCAAGCAGGGCGTGGGACACTGGGGACACGCCTGCTAGAAAAATACCAGAAATGGGATTTGTTTCTTCACTTCACTGTAGTTGTGCAAACATGCTGACCCTGGTGTTTGATGGGGGACAAGCTGTCACAGTGCTCAGAGAAAAGACTTTGTAAAGACTCCAGATTCATTTTATCAACTATCAGAATATTGAAAACCCAATAAATTCACCAAAGCAAAGAGATACAGATAGCTGTGAATATCTTACTCATTGATCAGAACAAAAAAATTTTGTATATACCTTCTAAATTCTTGAAAAAATAAATGAGTCACTATTGGCTTACTGCCACCAATGTTTTTATGGCACAAAGCGGCAAAAGTTACAAGGTTTAATATTTCATTTTTCATTTACTGCAAAATAGCTTGCATTGCAAATATTCAACACACTGCTACATTTTTGTATGTATTTGTATTTTTATAGACTTTTCAGTAAGTATAAACCCATGTTCTGAATTTGGAGACTTGAGAATTATTTATTTTAGAAGTATAAAAATATTAAGTTAAAAAATTTTAAGGTAGTTCTCAAATTTAAATGAATGCTGTGAATAAAGGACTACTTACAGTAATTTACTAAGCAGAAGACATTAGTCTTGCTTCATTGAAAAGAGCAGTATTTAAATGAGAGCTATGACAATGGTGCTCAAGTTTTGTTCCTGATTTATTATTTCTTTTTAATCCCATGGTCATATGCTTAAAGAACTTTTTAATTTGCACCCAGAGGGGCAGAGGGTAGAGAGAGTGTGTGTGGAAAACCTTAAAACCAATGAATGGGAGTAAGAGCTGAAGCAGGTTTCTCTACAGAAACAGACATTTCAAGGAGAATCCTTATTGCTTATGGGTTGTTATCATATAAATGTTTTAATGACTATGTGCTCCTGACCTCCTGATGCAGAGGAGCAGCTCGACATGGATGATATCAATCAATACCACCTATGTCACTATGTTAGATAAAATGTGTGTAAGGATTACTAGGCCTGGGAAGAGCAAATTGAGAGATGTGTCTAATATTTAAAGGATAAAGCAATCTACTCCCTGTTTTATGATAGCTTCATTTGTTCTATGAAAAATATTTATGCAATTCAGATTGGTTCAGAATTAAGTGTTACAGTAGTTCTCTCTTCTCTTCTATTAGGTATCCAAGGCTGCAGCAGATTTATTGGCATATTGTGATGCACACATTGGAGAAGATCCCCTTATTATTCCTGTACCTGCATCTGAAAATCCCTTTAGGGAGAAGAAACTCTTTTGTACTATCCTTTGAGTCAGTTGTCCATTAAAAATGTCATCTGCTAAAACTTGGTATCAGTGTTGCATGCTTTTAGCATTTTTTTTCTCAGATGTCAACACTTACCCCATAACTACAATATTTTTGGAAGGTAGTGCAATTTTGGCTAAAAACCCCCCTAAAATTAAAAAAAAAAAAAAAAGAAAAATTCAAGGTAATGCTTATCTTTCAGAGCAATGTACAAGTTTAATTTCAGTACTTCACAAATATTCTTTTGGTCTTAGTGAAAATACCAAGTACAGTATCAAATTGTAGATATCTTTGCCAGTAATAGATTTTTCCGGGATCTAACTGAGTCATATCAATTCTTGAAGCTATTTTTAACATTCTTATTTTCTTTGGAAGGTGGATTCAATTCAATTGCCTTTACAAATTTCTATCTAAAGAGAGTAGTATGACCTTTTCCTCAAGTAGCACTATTTAGGAAAAAGTTCCAGTGATTTACAATGTTTACAGTGATTGCTCTTATACAGTAAGTGGTGTCTATAAATATGTTTTCTGAAGACTGTTTTTTCTTGACTACAAAAACAATCCTAATAAAGTGCCATTGTAGCTACGAGCAGAATGAAGATGTATAGTTACACATCAGGATTGCATCAATAAAAATGTAGAAAAATGTGGTTGCTTGTATCTTATTTTGAATGGTAATGATTTAAATTATTTAGAAAGTAAACTGAACTGTGAAGTAAGTGTTCCTGAGAGTTTTAGTGGGACTTGTAAAACTGCCCTGAACAGCACAGGGAGGGGGAATTACATTTTCTGAGCAGCCCTCTACATGCTTTTGCCTGTGAGAGTAGGACTTTATGGGGATGTAGAGTAATGGTAAATAAATGTTTTTCTAGGATATGCAGCGAGACCACTGTGCTGTTGACAGTCACTATGTTTGTACGTTTTGTGGCCACAGATTATTTAAGTTGTCAGAAAGTAATTTTTTTTTCAATTTTAAAGTGCAGTGAGAGGAAAAGAATGAGATGTGAAATAAGACTGCCTTCTTCATGAAGTAAAATTAAGCTCCTACAAGGCACCTGATGGAAGCAACTGTTACTTTAGAGACTTTTTTGTTGTTGTTGTTGTTCTCCTTATTAAAAAATGAAAGCTCTTTTTCAATCTGATGCATTAGGACAGTTGTCTCAGTGCAGTACCTGATATGTTCAGTGTGTCAGCCAGCCCCATAAGGCAGGAGACAATTTTGCTGGAGAACTGCACCAGTCTGAGCTGAGACTCCGAACAGACACCCATAAGAGATCAAGCTTCCTCCCTTCCTCTGCACAAACTTGTATTCCATCAACATCTTAAATACCTGCAAGGCAACAAACTAGCTGAGGAATTGAGGGCCTTGGGGTATTCTTAAATGCTGAATTTAGATTTTGAAAAGGGCTGCTTGGTGAACAAAGCCACGTGCATTTCCCCCAAAGTGCATGTACCTTCTCCAGCTTATTTTTAGCAATTTCCATCGATGTCTGTTGTACTGTTTTGTGCAGTGGAAATACAAGATGCCTGCATTTTACAGGTTTTGTTTTCTTTGCTGTTTGGCTTGGATAATGGGCCTCACCCAGCTGTGTTCACTGCTAGTCTGGGCACACAGGACAGGGGGCTTTGGATGGTGCTTCTGCTGCTCATGTCTCATATGCAATGTTGTAAAAAACCCTACATACCCATATTCCTTTTAACCAGTAGGCTTTTGGGATGTCTTTCATTCAAATATTTGGTTTTTGAACTGGGCAGCTGGAGACATCAGTATCTTAGCAGCCTTGACGTCCCTATGCTGCAAACCATTCAAGTATCTTGAAAAGCTCTTATTTTTGGTACGCCTATCCTTGGTTCCTATTTCAAAGTTTTCAGCTTAAGAATCCCATTCCTAATTTTTAACAAAACTATTTCTTAATGTATGGTGTGTTTTTATTTTGAGGGTAGAGAAATAGGGTTTAGCTAACTGAGTAGCTATTTTATTGACAGCAAAATTAAAAAAAATGGCTTTCTGAAAATACTTATTTAAAAAGAGCAACAAAATGCTTAATAAGGTTCTTTGGGGAATCCTTCCTACAGCGTACATGATTTGGTAACTGCTCTGATCACCATGGCAACATTTTCATTTGTCCTTCCGCATGTATGGTTTTAACTGGAGCAGCATGGGAGGAGAATATAGGGCATCCAGCTTTATTCTCAGAGGCTTTGTAACAACTTGCATCTAAACATTCCCATCTAAAATAACAAAATTGCCACGGCTTATTACAGTATTGCAAACAGCTTGCTTTCTGTTTCCAATTAGGGTTAGTGTCCGATATCCTGAGACTGAAACATTTCAGTGCTTTTGAGGGTCTCTGGTTCTAAGAGATTCCTTTACAAAAATCCAGAATTGTTATTCACAAGGGGAGAATGGAATTCTTTTGATCTTCGAGTTTTCTCTCCAAAATCTTTCTTCAAGGAGTTGTGAATGTGTTGGAGTTATGGTTTAAATAGATAGTTCCCATGTTTGTGGTTTCTTTCATCAATTCATAAATTTCATTATGTTAAAAAAAATAAAATGCATCTACTCAGGTGATTTCATGATTCTAATTTATAAAAAAAGAAGTACATGGAATACCATAAAGTGCATATTTACATTAGCAGATGTCTATAGTGTGTTTGAAGAGGTTAAACTGTAGAAGCATAATTCCTTACTGGAACACAGAACATCTTTCTCTGATATCTTTGGGCCTTATTTTCCAGTTCTTAAAATGAAGATATACTATTGGCAAATTAGTAATTTGAAGGGGAAGAGGGTGAGGTGAACTTGGAAGATCAGCACTTCAAATAAAATTGTAACACCTTTGGATTGCATACAAATATATTACTTTCCTTAAGAACACCATCAAAAAATTGACTGTCTGGAAGAGAATGGCATCATCTGGTTCACTTTTTTTTAATGCCAACTTGATCCATAAATCAACATTTAAAAGAATATATTTTCCTCCAATCCCAGCAAACCATAAGATGTCTTTGTCATTGTTATATTTTGTGCTGCTTTGACCTTTGAGGCAGTTTGGATAATCTGCTATTGATACTTGAGTTTCATACTTAAACATCTTGCCTCAGCTCTACACAAAAATATCCAAATGATTTTGTACATTTTTCTAAATAATGAATACATACTATATCATGAACTATAGAATGATAGGAAAAAAAACTATTCAAAACATGGATTTAGCTAATAGAATGGTTTCTTGTAGGCTGAAGCAATGAGTTTATATTTTCATCAAATGGTCTGATTTGATTGCTACCAGTTTTAATGAAAACAAAACCAGACCTGCTGCCATCCTAATGCTGTACTGCTCTCTCTGTGTTTCATCTCATATGCCATTAGGCTTGTTTATTTGTAGTTCAGGCCCAGAAAGTAATGGGTGCTCTCTCTTAACTGTGTGAGTTGGGGCTGTCATCTTACAGAGTGAGAACTCCAGAACAGAATTGGATTCAAGGGGGTTTTGACATGCTATAAGTAATCCTTTCTTCATATCCCAACTCTTGCTGCTCTGATGAAATGAGAGTTCCCAATGGATTGGTGGTAAATTGTAATGTCTCAGTAGCACATGTGGGGCTGGCTGTTTTGCCTCCATGAGATTAATCTCCTTGGCTTACTTTGAATTTAAGATGCCACCATTTCAACCTTAAAAACTATTTTCTTCCTCTCTATTATATACTAAATTCCCCTTCTTTGCTTCCCATATCATGTATTAAATTAGTAGCAGGGTGCTTGGCTGGTGCTGATTGGCAAATTTTTTAAGCTAACCCCTATGAAATTATGGCCAAAGGAGGAGAAAATTATGGAGGGAAGTTTAAACTAAGCTATTCTACATCACACCAAAAGTTAAAATAAATACAACCTTTGCTGTCAGTGGCACTAAGGTAAACAATTATTCATAAGGATGTTGTAATCAGGCATTTTTGCAGTGACTTACAACAGGATCAGCTCCAACAGAGGGAAAGAACAATTTGGGAACAACAGTCTGTAAAGCTGCATATCAAAGCCTAAACTTCAATAAGGCAGTCATTTACCTAGCTGGATTTCTGATATCAAAGGAGTAATGAAGTATGTGCTTTGAGAGGACCTGATTATACAGTTTTTCCTATCTCTTCATTATATAGGGATAAAAATCTGTATACATAATTTTCCTAGAAATTGCCATAATTATGGCTATCCTTTGGGTCTGCACCAGAATATGGATTTGTTTCTTCAAGGAGACTAAAGAAAACTTGGGGGAGGAGTGGTTCCTAGGAAATACAGGCTTCTCTTACTGAAAACTAATACTTAAAGTCATTAGACTGACTTAAATAGTAATGTGTGAAAAATAGTGGGCAAATTTACTAGAATAAGTGTTACATAAAATTTTACAGGCACCTGCACATTTAATCTCTAGGTAAAAAAGGTACATTTGCATCTAATTGAATCCAGCTTTATAGCAGTATTAAATTCAGTACAGCCATAAATACCAGAACTAGTATGGGAACAAATTTTCTGTCTGTTAGAGGAAGATGTGCATCTGAGTTTGTCAAGTACATTTACACCACTCACGCTTGTGAACAAACAAATGAGCAGTTTTACCCTAAAATTGGGTCTTTTCTTTCCCAAATTCCTATTACAAGTAGGAACTGCACAGGCTTGTCTATTACTGCCACCTACTGATAAAGTGATAAGCAGCCGACTGAGATGAAAAAGTACCGACACCAACTAGCAATGGCCAAAAGGGGGATTGTGAATTAACACACAAACTGTCTGAAACAGAGAGTCAGCACTCCTGTTTTTGTGAGCTGCATTGTAAGGTTTCACCTGGCACTGGGGCAGTGCTGCACTGCTGGGGTGCAGTTAGACCTCATGCTTCAGTTCCAGACTGCTCAGGTTAGGAAGACAAAAGACAAATACATTATTTGGCTAAACAGGTCAGGTGTCTGGCCTTCAAAAGCTGGGGAAGTCGTTGTATGTATCAGCTGGAGCTCAATTTCCAGATTAACTCAGATGCCTGTTCCTCAGTGCTGCTGAGACACCAGTTGTGCCCTTGGCTCCCTGGAGCTGCTAAGAGCAGAAAGGCTCAGCTTTAGGCCAGAGTGAGTGCCCAGCCCAGAGAGCACCCAACAGCTCCCTCTGACTGCTGCTCGGTTCCTTCACACCCAAACTTCACTCCTGCCTGTTGGGTTTTTTATTTCGGGGGTGGGGGCTGTTCTCCAATTACTGGAGTCTGGGCCAAATACTTCCTCATATGCCACAGCATAATAACACAGCCAGAACAGAGCTTAGGCCACTGCTTATGCTAAGAATGGCATTTTAGGGAGAATACACTAGGCATGGCATAAGGATGTGTTTCAAAAGATAACCCATTCCACAAAATATATTTGTCATGTAGCTTCTCTCTGCACCGTACCCTCCTGTGTCCTTGAGCTTTAGGTGGCATCCTTGAGCCCTTCCCTCTCTTCATGGCATACTCTAAAGCCATGCACAGATTTTCAGCAAAAGGATGGAATAAGCCATACTTTATAGAAAAGAATCATTGTGACTTTTAAAAAGCCTTTCAAATAGCAGTAACTCTAAAGATATTGACTGTGTAACAATCTGTGTCTGGCAAGTGTGGCTCACAAGACTTTTTATCCA